GTCTTCCACGTCCATTCCCGAATACCACGCAAGCGAGCAGTTCGCAAGCCAGGTTCGCTGGGATGAGGCGAAACTCGGGCGGCGCGAGGCAGTGTGGCTCGACCGTGTTGTAGCGGGCGCGCCAGAACCGGCGCGCCCTTGCTCCGCCCTCAGGGGGCAGGCGTCGCAAGAACTCAAGCAGCGCATCGCCGACCAAACCGCGTGCCCACTCCAGCGGTCGCCTCTGGAAGCCAATGCCTCGCTTCTCTCTGTCCGCGAAGGACTCAGGGCCGGAGTTGTGGTACTCCTCCAGCTGCCGAGCCAGCTCAATGGGGGCGGCGCACAGTGCTGCGTCGCCGTCCTCGTCAATGGGCGGGGCACCGTGTTCGTCCGTCTCCGTGTGCTCGAGCCCGCGGTGAGCCGTTTCAACCATCTCTCTCATTCTTTGCTTGTGCTCACTTATCGAGAGCTGTTCCTTCTTTGGCAGGGTCGGAGACCGAGGCGTAAGTACGTCGACATTATGGCGTGAGGAAGCTTGTCGGAGAGCACGTCGAGGGGAATTAGCTCGGGCTCCCTGTCGAGGTATAACCGCGGCTTGATTTTCCGCGTCTTCGGCATGTTTCTCTCCGGCGCCACCCGACTTTTGGTCCTCCGTGTCCTGCAGGAACAGGGGCGTTGCCTGAAACCGGTGCTCGGCATCATCAGGCGGCGGAGGCGGTTGGTTCTTCTCGTCGGGTGCGTCGGAATCGACCAAGTTCGGTCCCTTTTGAGCAGAGAGCTACCTGTGCTTGGGTTCAATGCCATCTAGAGGTTCTGGGGCTTGCGCAGGCGCCGCAGGTTTTTGAATGCAGTGGAACAGGCGCGGAGGCTGCGGCACAGCCGCGGATCCCTTCCTCCGCGCTCGCGGCAAACGGCTGTCCTCTTTAATTCTGAGCAGGGTCCGAGTCCACGGACATCGCCGTCGGGCGGTCGACTTCCCCGCTCAACTCCGCCGCCCCTTCGCGCATCTCAGATTGACACCGCCACTCAAAGAGCATCTTTTCATGCGCCAGGACCTCGTTGGGAACTTTGTGTCTGTGGGGGTCGACCCAGCGGGAATATGCGCGCTGATGAGGAGTAGAGAGGTCATTGTCCACTGCAATGTTGGGTTGATCGCAGTAGTCGCATGACTCCACCGGCTTCATATTCGACCCATTTTGCATTTGTATGGCGTGCAGTATCACCCGAGACGGAGACAATATACTGCCTCCCTTCTGGACGGAGCCAGTTGACGTCCATGGCACGCACTCTTGTCAATGGCTTCGTTTCATCCATCGGCGGAGGCTGATGCAATGGCGCTGCGCTCCGCCACGCGGGTCCGGCGGCTGCGTTGCCGGGGGGGAAGACAGGTCCAGCTCCTTGGAAGGAGACCGGAGTTTTGCATCTGCGTAGTACGCTCTCTAGAATCCCGCCGATCCCAGATGTCCCAAGCTCGAGCATACACGCTTCCTCTCGTGCGGTATGGACGCACGAAATGCCGCGGTCGCAGCGTGAATACCGTCCGTCTCATTTCGGATGAACTCGGTAACGCGCTGTCAGAATTTTGTGCCATGTGTGGGCTGGGGCAGATTCTCCTCGTCGGAGGCAACGTTGACATCGTCGTTGGTCGCCTCGGCCCTTGCCTCATGTCGTCGTCTTCCGCCCCAATAGGTCGTGGATTCTGTGACCTGCGCGTCACGAAATCATTAATTGAGTAGTGCGCCCACCGATCATCAATTTTCACATCTGCTGGGGAGATGTTGTTCATGCCAATCTGCAACTGTCTGCCATGCGTGATCAACTTGTACACATCGGGGCGGGCGTAGTAACGTTCATGGAACTGGTCCGTCTCCAGCTCCATCCCCCAATACTTCTCGCCGGCCCAAGGTACTCCGCTATCGCGAGCAAAGGCGCGAATATGCTCGACGGACACTCTCCTATTGTCGCAGATCTCCCGCATCTGTTCTGCCAGGCGCTGCAGAGGCGCCGTCGGGCATCGCAATGCGTCTTGCGGTTGCCACTTCGTGCGGGGTCATACCAATTCCAAATGCTTCACCTCGTCCTGAATCCTGCAGGGAGCAGCGTTGACCGTTTCGCTCCATCCATGCCCCGTCTCCTCGACGAGGGTGCAGGGATCTGGATTCGCGATGAATTTATCACCGTTGGACACCTTGGGATGGTGTTGCCCTAGCCCGTTGGCGTGCGTCTGCGGCGGCGCGGTGAAACAGAGACAGAGGGCAATTCGCACCAGGTTTTGGGGGCGTGGGCAACAATATTGTTTGTTCTTCTCCGTGTCCACTGCCTTGAACCCCCCGAGCTCCGACGGCGGAGCCAAGATCTGGAAGTCGCACGGAACTGCCAACCCATCACTAAGCAGCTCTGCCGCATTGGAGGAGGTGGTGTGCTGCGAAGGTATCCTCGAGCAGTCCTCGAAGGCATGTGCCCCTTCCGCAGGTGTGTTTGAGCACGTGTAGTTCTTTGTCCGCCTACTATCGCACTCCTTGGAGGCGTTGCACGCGCCCGTGTTGAGGACCGCGCCAAGTTTGTTGATGCTGATGGCGTGTGAATAGCACTTCCAGCCTTCGTTCCTCTTCGAGCGTACATAGTCGGCTGGCAAATCAAACGGCACGGTGAATGCGGTGTTCCGGACACTATGCTCCGGCTGAACATCGACAGTCTACCCGGTCAAATCAAAAGGTCGCATCGCGTCCCCTGCGCACCGTTGTCAGCCGTGTGTAGACGCCTGGCACAAGGCCTTTCAACGACCGATCGACCGCGATATGTCTTGGTAGATTTGGGGTAATGTGCGTGGCGAATAGACGCAGCAAACCAAGCATTGGAATTTGTATGCAAGACGTTGCGCAAGTTCGTAACATCATCCGGCATCAACTCTCGGCCCAACGACTTCGGAGCCGAGGAAATGTAAGACAGCAACAGCTTGTACTCGACTTGTCTGTCGTGCTTTACCCCTCGTCCTATCCGCGCACTGTCGATCGTGTCTGGCCCGATTATAATCGGTTTCTGGTGTGATTGACTGGCCGCGCAGGCATGAGGGCACACAATCATTCAGCCCTCGATATCGCACATTGGGTTGACCTCCGTGGCCCCGTCAACGGTGCGATACTCGGCGGACGAGAGCAGTGATTCCTGTATCTTCTTCCAGTCATCAACCAGACTTGTGTTCCATTTCTTGGGGGCGTCGCCGGCGTAGCCAGCTGCCGCCCCGCCCATGCGGGCTCTCTGGGGTCGATAGCGGTCACCTCGCCCCTTGCCCGCAGCGCCTCCATGCACTGGGCCATCCAGTTGTCGAGCCCTGGTTCGCGGTGCATGATGTCGGAGTCAGGCAGCATTGCGGGGAAATAAAGCTGAGGATCGCGAGGCAGGGTGAGCGTTGGCACATCTGCCCACGGCGCTCTTTCAGCCGCGCCCTTTTCCTTCATCCAGTCCGCAAATCTCGGTGGGTCCGCGTCAACGTATGTGGGCCTGGGCAACAAATGGGAGTCCTGGAGGCTAAACGGCAGTAGCATGTCGAACCCGATGTGCGCTAGTGACTGGAATCCGTCCACGACGTAGGGCGCCCGGCACTGGAAGCACTCCTGCCAGATCAGCGTCAGTGCAGGCATGGCCTCCTCTCGGATTCTCCCCAGGACTGGCATTCACCTCAATGCAGACCTTGCAGGCGGTAGTGATGTACCTGGATATTTCCTTCACATATGACTCGCCAGGGCCCACCTTGAAGTGCCGCGGGTCGCCATCTGGGGTTCGCCCTTCTTGTGTAACTCCTGCCCGCGTATCCACGACATCCGACGCGGAATGCCGGCCTCCTCCCAGTACCTGATTCGGTTGTTTGCGACAGCTGCGGCCGGGCTTGCAAGGGTGTCCAGGCGACTTGTTCTCCGCTGGCGGCCAGGGTTCACCAGGGCCGTGCATCGCTCAGCCCCAGGACCACCATATAGGTGTTGTCCCTTTCTGCGTACCCAGCCTGCGTGTCGATCAGTTTCTTCGCCTGTTCCAGCACTTCCCACTCAAGATCGAAGTGCTGCTGGACGTCGCTTCCCAGTGCTGTGCCTCGTTGACGGCTATCATCCCTGCCAGTCCCCAGGCCATGACCAATCCACAGCGCGACGCGGCATCTATACCTCGTGTCGAACGCAATCTTCCCTTGTTGGCCCAGCAGCGGAATGTCCAGGAGAGTTATGCCGCCCTAGCAGTATGCATCGCATCCTGCGACCTTGTTGTTTATGCTCATGGAAATGAAAATCTTCGCCCCTTCCGGTTGCTTTTCGCCAACTGCTTCGTGACAAATCGCCGATGAGTCTGGAAGCAGCATGACGTCGATATCGGGTGCGCGTACGTGTTCTTCCACATGCGCTCCGCAGCTGCGGGGTACCAAATCTCGACCGGCGCATCTGTCTTCGCATGCGCAGAAATATATGGGCCAATGGCCCTGGTGAGCGGTCTCGATGAGGTGTGAGTAAGCTGCACACGTCTGGGCGTGCGACCGGTTCCGAATGTGAGGGGCTACCGCCTCGTTAACCAGCTCTGCCATTCGGGTCTTCAGTCCTTTGGCAAGCTTGACATAGTCATCGGACGGTTCCACGCCCGCTGTCAGCACGTGCTTCGAGATCCTGTCGTCTCCCTCGCCCCTCGCCTGTATGGGAGCCCTCAGCTGCGCCGCCTCCCAGATGTCGTTCACGCCACTGCTCGAACGTATCTTGGCGCGTCTATCGTCGGCAGGAGGCGGCGCAGGCGGCGCCGCGGCCCCGCTGGCATAGCCACGCTCAACCCCATCAGGCCCCTTAGGGTTACGTGTCATCCCTGCATTTCCAGAACTCAATGAAGTGCCACCTTCGTTCGGTGCTCTGGGTTCAGCGTCTCCCGAAGACCCAGCGCGGTCAGACGTCTTGGGCAACGAGTGCTTTTGTGGTGGCCCAGCAAGAGAGGCCCGTGCCTGCGACGGTGGTGCATGCGCAGGCGGAGGAGGCGCCGCTGCCAGCGGCGACCCAGCCAGCGGAGGCGGGGGCGCAGCCGTGGGCGGCGGAGGCGTTGCCATCGTAGGTGGTGTCGCCCGTGGCGGCCGTGGCGCTGCCTTCGGCGGCGGTTTCGCCGGGGACGGCGGGTCCTTGGGCGCCGGGGGCTGTCCTGCCGGGGGCGGTGGATCCGCTGGCGCCCGTGGCGGCCCGGTCGAGGCCGGTGGGGCCATGGGCGGCGACGGCGGCTAGGCCAGAGGCGGAGGTGGGGTCCTGCGCCTCGACGGCTCTCCCGAAATAGTCGGTGGCGGGTCCTTTGGCAACGGAGGTTGTGGCGACCTGGGCGGCTGCGGTTTCGCTCCCGTCGCGCTCTGCGGTGCCGTCGTGCCGCCGCTGGGCGTGTTCGACGGCTCGTTGGTATTCGCGTTCAATCTGACCGCAGTCCTCGGGGCAGCCTTGCGCGGGGGCTGCCCTGGCGGCGGAGGCGGTGGCCCCCCCTCCGCCTCACTTGGCGACGTCGCCGGGGGCGGCGGCCTGGTCTTCGACCCAAGCGGTTTGGGCTCGTGCCTGTGCCTCGGAAGGAGGTGGCGCTGAGCGCGTCCATCTGCTCCTCCTTGCCGAATCCCGGAGATTCTTCGGGTCGCGGTAGTTGCAGCTCGAAGGCGACGCCACTGCTGAGTCCATTGCTGGCCGCGGCATCGGCGGTCCGGTCGACGAGGTGCCGGCGGCATGGCCGCTTGGAGGAGGCAACAACTACTTAAAGTCGTTGTAGTCGTCGGCTTCCCTCTCGGCCTCGTTTTCCACGTGGATTCGCCGACGCTCGGATATTGAAAAAGACAATGTCTTCTACTGAAATTTGCCAACGCTTTGAGATGCGCATGCGGGGGTCTCCGCGTCCATTAATTGCAATATGGCGGTGAACAGGTTCCTGTGTAGCGGGGCAGAAGGAGTCGTTCAAATTCCTCCATCTTTTTGAGCGTCCCCACCCACTCATGATTGAAGTGGAACGGGTCGCTGTCCGCTTCCTTGCCCGTGCCGTGGATCCTGAGCTCCATGAGGTCCGCGAGCGCGTGCACCTGCCCACGGTCCTGACGGGTGGTCACATGGGCGGCAATGGTGCGCATAATCTCACGACCTTTCATCATATTGCGGGCCACTTGTGAGGATATGTCCAACCTTTCTATCTCGCTCGCAACATGACGGAGCTGAGATGATGATTGTCTGTCTCTAACTATCTCGTGAATTTTTGGCATGCGGTCCGCTGCAATCATTGAGTCAAGCCGGGCGAAATGGCCAGCGTCTTGCTGGCGGCTTCCTCGCAGTTTGGTGAGGCCGACGCTATTGTTCTGACCGCATTGCGCTGCCACCGCCAGTAGTTAGTAGCGTCGGAGATCGCTTCCAATACTATATTCTCAATTTTGCTGGCGTCGTTCCAGTGCTGCGCAGTGGCAGGATCCGCATTTATCAACGGAGAGGGGGCGCCACCGTCGCCGCCGCCTCGAGGCGGACCGTCGGTCGGTCCTCCGCCACGCCGGCGCCGACGGTCGGGGTCGCCGCCCCCTTCCCCATCAGGTGTCGGGCAATCTTCGTCTTCAAGATCGCCATCCTCATCGACCTCGTCATTGTCGACAGCATCTCCGCCATCTTCGCCAGGAAGACCTGGGCCTGGATATTTTTGGGCTGGTGCCTTCTCCGGGGGAAATGTTTCATCCTTCTCGTTTTCCTGCCTGAAGATGCCTGGCAAACTCCCCGGTCCAGGCGGCGTGTATCCCTGGAAAAAGGTTCCAATGCCGGCTCGGACTGGCTTCGGGCTGGGCTCCGTGTCCTCCTGGCCTCGAGCGTCATGTTCAGCCTTGCTCTCTCTTTCCTGGGTCTGTCGCGCTAAGGCAACGGCCGCTTCGGTTCGTTTCTCACGCATCTCCTGGATCTTCACCTTGCGCTCAGCACGCATCCTGGCGTGATCATCTTCGCGCTGATTGGTCTGTTCGAGCATATCCATGAATCTCTGACTTTTCGCCCTCGCGCCCCCCTCAAACTCGAGCGGCCTCTTCGACTCTGTGCTCTCCGCCCGGCGCTCGTGTAATCCCGAAGCATAGCCGCGGGCAGGTATGGGCCGTGATGAACAGTCAAGAGGGCCAACACCTGGCATAGAAGCAGCGGCATTATGTTCCTCGGGCTCCTTCCTCGCCTCGCGTTCCTCACTTGCTTCTTCTTGAAATCTTTCCTCGGCTGCGCTGCCTCTCGATGTCGTGTCTTCGCCGCGGCGGCGCGCGCGCGCGTCTCGTCGTCTGGGGCGAAGCGATCGTCGCAAACGCCCCTGCCGCGTGAGGTGCAGTCGCGAGGCGCAGCCATAGGGCGCAAGAAGCACCGCAACGCTCCCGCATTTAGGGTTGCGTGCTCTGTTCGTCTGCGAAGCGGTTCCCCGAGCGCGGGCGGGGCCGGCGGCGGGGGGACCTGCGCAGCAACTGCATTTGGATTCTCTGTTGGCCCGGCCCCCGACGACGTTGCAGAGGACACTCCAATCGGGTTCTTCTGAATCCGATGATCGTTCAGCTTGCGACGCAGCGTGTCCCGTTCGGCTTCCCGGCTCCCCATCGTCCGGGCGGCCTTCGTCTCTGCCTCGCGAGCGCTGGCAATGGCCTTCTCCTCGGCGCGCGCTTCGACGCGTTGCGTATCTTCCCGAGCGTGTTGCACTTCGGCCGGGGCTCTCACTGGCGGCGACGCGATCCGCCTCGGCTTGCTTGACGACAGCGGCCGCCTCCGCGGCTAAGCGCCCGTTCCGATCCTCTGCTGCTCGTAGCTCCTGGGCCGCTTGCGACATAATCGCACGCTGAGCTTCACCGGCCCCCTGGACGACGCGCATGGCCTCTTCGGCAGGGTGCTTCTCCTGACGTTGCGCATGGCGGTCGGATGCAACTGGTACCTCCGTCCTGTTGGCGAGCTACCTCATCTCCGTCTTCGTCGCCGGGGCCTGCTCGGCTGCCGCCGCCTGCTGGCGCTCCTCCAGAAATCGCATGGTACTCGCCATAGCTTCCTGGTCTCGCTCCCACTGAGGAGTGGCGGCAGCGTGTTGCCGTGATTCCGACCGTCGCAGGTGTTCGCGCATCTCAGCTAGATCTCTCTCCGTGGCCCCCATGTTATGCGATGTGGCGGCGTTGCAAGTCGCAGATGGGAAGTTCAGGTTGCAGAGACAGCAAATATCCGGGCACCCGTGACAGACCGGTTTCTTGGACTGCCCCAGCGAACCAGGGCATCGCGACTCAGGAACCGCAGCGCATCGCGGTCCGAAATGGGCACATTTGGCATTCATGCGCATGCTGAATGCACTCGACCGACCCGAAAGGGCTGGATAAGTGGGGCGCTTCCGAGCGCGGCCTTTGGGCCCTGGGTCTGCCCGTCTCGGTGCCCCTCTTGCGGGGAGGGCGGGTCCGCGGTTCAGGCGTCTCGGGCGTCGGGGTCGACGGTCGATAGCCAGACTGGGCAGCTCTAGGATGCGGTGGAGACCCGGGTGCGTAGCTCTTGGCCCCCCCCCTGGAGCGGGACCAGGGCCGTCCGCGGGGGCGCCGTCGGATCACGCCCGCCTACGGAGCGACGACACAACAGAAAAAACTAACCGTCTCGCGCCTTTGCTTGCTGGTTGCCCTGGCCCGACTGTCAGCGGGCTGACCCCCCGCGATTTCCTCCGGGCCCCGTTCGGATCCGACAAATCATCGGATGGAACCGCAGCTTCATCGCCGTGGGCGCGGGGTGCCTGCGTGGGGGGCCGATAGTCGTCCAGCGAAACATGGGGCATGCCGCAGGCCTCGCCCCCTCCATCATGCGGCCGGCGAGCGTCGCTGTAAGCAGTGGGTCTCGGTGTCGATCTGCGGGGGACAAGTCTCCGCCGACGAAATTGACTCTGCGTGTTGCTCACCGTCCGAGGGGCCGAGCGAGACTTCAACTTGATCGGCAATTGGCGCCGACATCTGCTCGCCGCCCTTGTGCCAATCGCGCTCATTGTCGCCCTTGGTCCTCGGGGCGTCCGGGCGAGGCTCGTCGTGGTAGGAGATTTTCCATCTGATCTTAGAATTAGGGCGTTGGCTCGTCTCTTCGACGTAGTCGGTTGAATCAGATATCCAGGAGCGTTCGCGCTCATGCCGTGGCGTTTGTCTTCTTTCTTTCGTGCATCATCCGCTTAAGGTAAGAACATAGCTTCCTTCTCTGATGGCGCCACTTTCATCGAATATCGAACTTTTGCCATATTAGCAATATTGTGTCAAGTTCTCCGTCAAGAGGGGAGGTTTCGCAGCCCGATGAAACGGCAAAGCCAGTGCTCTTTCATCAGGTTGTTAATCTTCTTGTTCAGGTTGCAACAATCTCTTGCTCAGGTTCAAGTGGTGAATCGGTGATGTACTTCTTGTAGCCATGGCGGGGCGTGTCATGTTGTGCCGTTGAACTTTGACTGTAATCAGGCTAGTAGATGGAAGAGGAGCGGCCGGCCGGCGGGCGCGCGGGCGGGCGACCCCCTTTTTCCACTGATCGCAGCCAAGACAACTGCGGGTATGTATATACTACAGTGTCTCTGAAGCATGACATGGGGTATGACCGAATTAACTTTTTCAGTACGGGGTCCTCGGAAGCCCCGACCCCTTCCCTACAAGGGCTGGTTTCTCATCCCAAGTATTTTTTTGCCGAGTATGGGGCCCAGTGAGGGCGCCTGAAGCCAAATATAGAGAACTACCTCCGTCCTGACTTGTTCAAGGCGTTGCGTATCTGGTTCGAAAAACCACACATTGGCATGGGCAATCGGCCGCTACGCTTTACGTGCGACAAGAACAAAATTTGCAAACCAC